TTTTTTAAAAAAGAGCCAGACTTGGAAGTTAGCTCAGCAAGTTGGCAATGATTTAGACCAATAAATCTCCAGTAAGTATTCAACATTGTCCTGTGTGTGTGTGTGTGTTTCTCGAATACCCTCCTGGTCATTCGGAGGGAGTTTGGGGCAGGGGTGGGTGGAATGCCAACCTACAAAGCTAAACTTTATAACTGTGCTGTGCTATTATGTATAGAATAATCTCTTTTTATTTTTCCTCTGAATTTGTTTTCCTCTTGCTTCCCAGAGGACTGTGTGGAGGACAATGCAGCATAGTGTAAGCAGTGGTCTTCTTATTCTTCCTCTCATCCCCATTTGTCTTCGTACACTCATTCTGGACAGTCCCCGAGAAATCCCACCTCCACGCTCCCTTTCCAAATTACCTGAAGTGAACTGAATACTGCACATAGCCCTCTTGTTTAGTAGTTTCCTCTCTGCTTGCTATTTACCGTTAACAACCATTTTGATATTTTTTCCCAATGGCAAAGTTTTCAATCTCTTCTTTGTGTAAGAGTAGCTCATTTGGTGGCTGATTTAAATTCTATCCCGATATTCAGGCGAAGGATAGTCTGCCTGAAAAACTAGCTCTTCCCTAATAGAATATATTGACCTTTTTCTTCTTGTGCTGAGTGAATAATTACCTTGCTAATAATAAGAACAAACTAACATCAGCTCTCATGAATAAGGAGCTAATTTTTCCATTAGCTGGGACACAGAGAATTTAGGGGGTTAAAAAATAGTTTGTGGAGTAGGTTGTTTCCTCTTTTTTTTCTACTTGAATTTACTGATGTCTTTTAAAACATTCAGAGAGAGAGCGAGCATTGGCTTTTTTTTACTTGGAAGTTTGAATGGGGGCTGAGGACAATAACGCTCAGGTTATCTTACTTGACTTTTTATATTAACCAAAATAGCAAGATAGTTATCTAACCTGGTTTCCAAAGTACCATTCCATGCTGGTAACACTCCTTAATAAAGATCTGTACCCTACACAGCATCCTGGACCCAGGAGAAAAGGTGACTCTCACCTGAGGGGTACACATATTTATTCATGCAGCACACCTATGACATCATGGTATTAACTTAAATCCAGGTAGTGGTAAAACTATGTCTAAAATTCATCCCTTAAAATTCATTTGTTTAAGAATAAATTGTCCCCTGGGTAGTATCTCCATGCATCCTTCCAGTTCTCTGAGA